CAGGTCCAACCCTAGCACGTAGATAGTGGTGTTGAAGCGTTCAACAATTGATGCCAGGATCCGTTTGCAAAACACAATGTCTGCGGTTGATCTGTTCTGACGGAACCCGGCTTGCGATGGAGATATATATCGCTCTACGTCAGCTCTGATCCGGCTAAGTGTGATGAGGGACAAGATTTTTCTGGCAGTAGTCAGCAATGTTATCGGGCGCAAATCGTTCATGGGCCCTTGGGTTTACCTGGCTTATGTAGAGCGATTAGTACACCATCTCCAAGGGACGGTTGGCTGTGCTGAGTGAATACATCGTTGAAAATGCTGCTTAGGCATGCTGCAAGTGCAGGTCCTCCGTACTTGTACTTGACCAGCTCGGCCGGTATGTCATCAGGCCCGCAGGAGCGTTGGTTCTTTAGAAGACTCATTGCGCTCGCTACCCCTGCTGTGAAAATCGGTTTATCAATGAGTTTCGGTGTTCCTGTAAATGGCGTAACCGCTGGCTCTGCAGCAGTAGGAGAGAATTTCCCAGTGTAATGTTCAGCTATTGTATCCGCTTGCTCTCCTGGCCCAAGGACAGCCTTGCCGTTGTAGTCTACAATGGTTAAATCTCGTGGGCACTTTGGTTTCAACAGTTTTATCGCTGCAAACATCCGACATAAGTGGTGTTTGAATATCCTGTTCCTTCGCCAATCCGGATTTTTGTGTGGAAAACGGATGTGTGCGGTTAAGTGAGGTCTGACTGTAATATTAATTATTAATATAGAAATAATACCAAAACATATGCTTACATGTACGTATGGCCCGTTGAAAAGCTACATGTAAATGCAGAATTCGAAACACCATTAAGAGAGCATGTCTGAGAAAACCAGAACATATGTGCAAGTCGATCTCTCAGATTTCGCTCAAATTTTGCAGGTTGGTTTGCTTTGGGATGTAGATCGACATTCCAAAGCCCGCACAAAATCTTCTGAAGGGAACCATTAAATTGGTATACCCCTCAATATTGGCCCAAAATTGGCACGATTTATGGGTCTACAAACGAGCCACGTCACAGCGTACAAGAACAAGCTACGAACACAAATCCATCAAGCCGTCATTACCTCACCTTAGAAGAGTTCTTGGGGCAGCACTACTTAGCCACCCCAGCATCCCAGAAGACGAGGGCAATCATCCCTTGACGCCACAAATGATCGTCTTGAAAATAGCAAAATTACAAGCTCTGATAAAACAGCGAGCTACGTCCTCAATTAGCAAACACTATACACCGGCAGATAGTAGAACACCTCTTCTAGCACTGAGGACATGTCCCCCATCATCCTTTTTGGGTTTTCTTGAAATAAACAATTTTGAATTTTTCCACTCGACCATTCTGAAATACGTCCAAACTCATACCTGCGCAGGAAAGCTCGCTTCTCCGCAACGTCTAGTCAGCAATTTCTACTCCAACACCACTCCCAACGCTGCAGAACAAAGTGTATTGTTGACTCTGACAAGGAAAAGCAGCGGTGATCACTTGTCACTCCAACATTTTTCGGTGCAACAGTTGATGCAAAAGTGACTGAATTGTTGCGTGTAGTTTTTGGATTTTACTGCAAGAGGAATGAAGAAATCACGTGGATCGTGACGTAGAATAATGCTTTCTGGTGCACGACACAATGCACACGATCACAATCGTTCCTGGGGCGCTATTCGAAACGGACCATGAGGGAGGAGGTAAGATGCATTATATTTCTTGCATGCTCTGCTCAGAACATGCAGAAACTATCGTTATAGCGCTAGCAGTATTGCATTGGCAAGAATTCTTTGAGATATTTCCTCTTGTAGTAAGAACAGGGATGCCTTTTTTCACACTAACCTCGCTCATCCCGAACATGGTTCACCTTCAACAGGAACTACGGCTAGTTTACATGCTGATGATCCACGTAGATCTGCAACATGTAACAGCAAGGAATGAGCGTGGTCCATGCCATCAAGGTCGCTTGGAGTTGACCAGCGCGCGGCCAACACTGAACAAGAATTCTTGCCAATGAAATACTGGTAGCGCTATAACGATAGATTCTGCATGTTCTGAGCAGAGCATGCAAGAAATATGATGCATCTTACCTCCTGAGTCATGGTCCGTTTCGAATAGCGCCTCAGGAACGATCGTGATCGTGTGCATTGTGTCGTGCACCAGAAAACATTATTCTACGTCACGTAGCACGTGATTTCATCATTCCTCCTGCAGTAAAATCCAAAAACTACACGCAAAATTCAGTCACTTTTGCATCAACTGTTGCACCGAAAAATGTTGGTGGTGCAAGGAGAAGCTCGTCGTTTGGAGTGACAAGTGATCACCGCTGCTTTTCCTTGTCAGAGTTAACATTACACTTTGTTCTGCAGCGTTGGGAGTGGTGTTGGAGTAGAAATTGCTCACTAGACGTCGCGGAGGGGTGAGCTTTCCTGGGCAGGTATGAGTTTGGACGTATTTCAGAATGGTCGAGTGGAAAAATTCAAAATTGTTTATTTCAAGAAAACCCAAAAAGGATGATGGGGGACATGTCCTCAGTGCTAGAAGAGGTGTTCTACTATTTCAGAATGGTCGAGTGGAAAATTCAAGATTGTTTATTTCAAGAAAACCCAAAAAGGATGATGGGGGACATGTCCTCAGTGCTAGAAGAGGTGTTCTACTATCTGCCGGTGTATAGTGTTTTCTAATTGAGGACGTAGCTCGCTGTTTTATCAGCGCTTGTAATTTGGCTACTTTCAAGACGATCATTTGTGGCGTTAAGGGATGATTGCCCTCGTCTTCTGGGATGCTGGCGTGGCTAAGTGGTGCTGCCCCAAGAACTCTTCTAAAGTGAGGTAATGTTGGGTTGATGGAGTTTTGTTCGTAGCTTGTTCTTGTACGCTGTGCCGTGGCTCGTTTGTAGACCCATAAATCGTGCCAATAATGGGCCAATATTGAGGGGTATGCCAATTTCATGGTTCCCTTCAGAAGATTTTGTGCGGATTTTGGAATGTCGATCTACACCCCAAAGCAAACCTACCTGCAACATTTGAGCGAAATCTGAGAGATCGACTTGCACATTATGTTCTGGTTTTCTCAGACATGCTCTCTTTGGTGCGGTTCACACGAGGTACAAAACACCGTATATCATACTTTCAACGTGTTCTTGTACTGTGGTTACCTTGACAACTTTCACCTGTGGCGGGAAAACTCGTATATGTTTTCAGCAACTCCTGAAGGGGTATAGAAAGCAGGATACACGCTGTTTCTTGCTGACAAAGACTAAGTGGGTTGAAAGTGCTTTTTTATTTTCACTTGGTTGTTCGATTGAGTTCAATTAATTTGATACGATGCCTTGCCAGATTTTTTCAGAAGTGTTGGAGTCAAAGCTCATCGACCTATGGGCTGCATATCAACAGACGAAGAGTGGCAAGATTTAGAAACGCGCTGTTCGTGAGAAAGAAATTGCCGAGGAGCTGAACAAACTTGCCAAGGAAAACGGCCTTGACTTGGAGGTGACGGCGCTCATAGTAGACAGCGTGAAATCAAAAGCCAGTGAAATGTACAAGAAGTACAAGAGATCGACTGCCACGGGCAGCCAAGCTGATCCGGAGTTTGACATGGAGAGCGCGTTCGGAGCCTGGAGTAGTTTTCGCGCCTGACGCGTGAGTGACTAAACAACAACTTCAAACGAACAACTACAACTACTGTACTGTATCAGCATAAGAAGTGCAGCTAGTACTGCGGACAACTGTGGCTTCAAGTCCAATCAGTCGTGGGCTGACATGCGATGAAGAACACTATTCACTATTCAGACGCAAACTAAACTTTGTTCTAAAACATTTTTGAGACGAGACCACGCATATGGCAGCGAGTTTCTATGGTTTTTGGATCCGCGCGTTTTTTTACGCAAACTTTCACATACACCGTGTGAACACATGCTAGATATAAGCAGTTTTGTACTGCAATCAGTTATACGCAGTTTGTACCTCGTGTGAACCGCACCTTAAGAATTCACTGTGTATTCAATGGGTATCAAGATATTTCCATGTCCATGACAGTACAAGCATCTCCTGCAGCTGCTGGAGTACATGCGTGGTCTGGAGCAGCCTGGAGCAGTCTGTAAAACAAGGGTGTTCGTGTTGCGTCTTCCAGATGTTAGATGATCTGCTATGCGTTTTGCAATAGCAGAACTCGTTGTGACTAGCACACGCCCATCGCCACCCTGTTCGCGCAATAAACCAAGGACGCCAGTGTCCTGATTCCTCTCTTATGCCAACACCAGATGTTTGTACCTGTAGGCAAGATGTGTAAGGTTGTTGTTGAGGAATATGTAAATTTAGACTGCTACAAACATCCATGTTGCAGCGAAACTGCCACTCCAGCTTGTTTGCTGAGACTGTGACAGAAGCAGGCTGACTAGTGCTGCAATGTGTACTGCTGTGATTCATGATTTCAGGTGACATTCCTTGCATTGCCTTGCCTGGGTAATATTGCAGTTCTTCACGCATGAAAATGCCCTTGCGCATGAAAATGTGACAACTAATGTTAGGGTAGAAATGCATACATTATGACATGTACATGACTTGATTGCGACTACTAGTAGTAGTACATGCACGTACATGTACATGTAAATGTTAAGGCCCTATCCACACTACAGGTGTGAAACGTAGTAGCGTCCTCTTTCAAGGTGCGTGCAAGTGCACTTGCATCCACACTCGCAAGAACAGCCAGCGTGAAACGTGACTTTTGAGGAGCGCCCGCGGGAATTTCCCCTCATATTCAAAATTTTATCTCAGAGAGTTCCACATTGATCTGAAAGAGAAACCATCGACTCAGAAATTTGTTCGTGGAGGCTTTATCTTGTTGTTCCTACCTATGTCTCCCTGTTTGTTGATTCGAGAGGAGAATGCCTCCAGTTATGGACAATCGAAGACGAAAGAGGTTGCTGTTTGCGACATACCTCAGCCAATCATTGAGCCGATCAAGTTTTTTTGACTGCACGCGCGATTTGGAAATGGATGAACAGTCAGAATCTTCTTTCTTTCCCACAGCAGGACTCTTGCTGCTCCTGAGTGCAAGCACTACTTCGCTTGGCCGTCAATTGTGGACCGCTCATCCAGAAAATGAAACCCACGGTGGCAGAGGTTTCTGGGAACGAGAAGTGCTGGAGAACTGGGAGAGCGTGAGGCTGGTGTCCAGACGTTGGTGGAAATCGGCTTGGATATCTAGTTTTCGGATGAGCAAGAAGACGTTCAAGTTCCTACTGTGCCGATATCGACATTTGTTTGAGAGGGACACAACACATCTTCGAAAGACGATTTCCCCCGCCAAGCGCCTTGCCATAACACTGTATTTTCTTGCTCATTCTGAAACATATTCTGAGATCGCTGCCCTGTTCTTCATTGGTTCGAGCACTGTTGGGGAAATTGTCCACCAGACCATCGACTCCCTCTATGCTGAAGTCGCGCAAGAGTCCATCGTCTTTCCTGTTGGGCCACAACTCCTACGCACCATGAGACGTTTCGAGGTGTTGAGCAATCTACCAATGTGTTGCGGTGCTGTGGATGGGACTTTCACGCAGATAACAAAGCCAGTTCTGTATGGTGACCGTTATTGGTGCTACAAGGGCTACACGTCAATCCTTCTCCTAGCGTGTGTTGATAGCCGTGGTCTGTTTACCTATGTGGACATCGGTGCGCCTGGCTCAGCGGGAGATGCTGCTGTCTATAACATCAGTCAACTGAAGCGGAATATAGATGACAAAATATGGCTCAACGCACCTGTCTGGCTTTGCCCGGATGGAACAACCATTCGCCCATATCTGGTGGGAGATAGCGCATTCCACTCTCTACAACTTTGATGCGTATCTTCAGAGATGATGGCAACCTGGCACCAGAGCAAGAGTCATTCAACTGGGCTCAGATTCGCACTAGACGTGTAGTGGAGTGCGCGTTTGGACGAGCCAAAGAACGCTTTGCAGTTCTTTCCAAGTGCAACAGCTGTGATCCTCAATTTGCCAGCCGAGCTGGCATGCTGAGTTGTGCACTCCACAACATTATTGAACGAAGGCATTCAGGATACCTGCCTTGCCTTGCAAATTATGCACCATTGCCACCTGCTGAGTTGCTATCATCACCTGCAATTGACATTCGCAATTGCTTGGCTCGCCATGTTCACAATGTTTGAACCTCACCTCATCTCATATCAATGTGAATCAAGAATTACGATAGATAATTTCATACAGTATTCACTACAGTGTGTCTTCGCACACCTGCCACCACTGGCACCACTACATAAATTGGACCACTGAATGTGCTGAAAGTAGTACATGTAATTCAATTCTGCTGCTGGTCACACGATGATAATTGCTACTCAATTGTATGCAGAAAATGAGCAAGTATTGAAAGTTACAAAACCTTGGAGCGAGAAAAAGACAGTATACGCAAAGTGAATGCAACAAAACGATAAGCGCAGTAGTTCTTCGGCCACACACCAAGTCTTCATAATATCCAACATGCTCATAGTGAAGGAGAAAAAAGGACAGGGGAGTATAAACTAGAAACTGCCACCAGTTTGGTAACATAATTTCATTATACACGTGTCAAAACAAACTATGAAGATCTGCTTGAAGAGATAAAAACAAAATCACAAGTTGTACGATAGTGAATAAGTCGTGAGCAAATCAATCATCAGAGGTACACTTCTTGAAAAGATCCGCCGTGAACTTCATTTGGCTTTGAATCAGCGCTTGCGTATGATCCTGCTGTTGCCGCATAACTCCAGCCAAAAACGTTTGCTGGTTATTTTGCAGCTGGACTTGAGTGTCACACAACTTGGTGACAGCATCGGATATAGAGGACTCGCCTGCAGCTTTTCTTTTCGTCTTTTTTGTCTTTTTGGTTGCCTCATTTTTCCCCGCCGCTGTACGCACACTTGGCTGTTCGGTGGGAGTGACAGGTGTGTGATGGTCACTGTCGGACCCATGTTCATCGCTCTCCGAGTCAGAGTCCAGCACAATGTGTCTTGACCGCTTCCTGGATGCTTGGCCATGGGATCCTGGTTTGTATGCCGCTGGACGACCTGGAGTGCTGCATGCGCTGGTAACTGCTGCTGTGGCAGCTGCACTGCCACTGGCCCCTGCAAGCATTGCTTCATCCAGTGCAAAATGGTCGGTGTCATCGCCAAAAGACTGGCCCCCATGGTGCATGTTCACGGTGTGTGGTGATGGTGATGGTGCAGGTATCACAGGGGTTGGTGGCGCACTACCACTGGATGGGTTTTCAAGTGGACTTGAACTTGAAGAGCTGGCCACTCCAAAACGAAGAGGAGCTGGTCGCTGTAGGGTCTCCACGGCAGTTTCAGTGGGCAGGGCAGCGGAGTTAAGACTCGTAATGGGGCCATATCCCGGCACCAATTTGAATAGTGAGTGCCAGGTCTTGAAATTACCCCAAGCTCTGCAAGCAGCTTCCAGATCTATGTCGGCATCGCCGGAGTCTTCGCTTGGAGCACCAGAGCCGGTGGCGGTGTGGCGGCGATATTTCTTGTACTGCTCCCTGGCCTTGGTACGTAGGTTGTCCAGCTTGTTGTGAACAATCGGCACTGTGATCTCATTCTGGAATTTATCGCCATACAGCTCGCGGCCGAATAAATTCCACTTCACGGCAATCTCCTGCTCCTTCACCGACCGCTTTTTCATCGTCCCATTGCTCGCTTCCTGTTCTGCAGCCCACAGCTCAATGAGCTTTCCTTCCAGCTCTTCACAGAACACAACCCTCGGCATTTTCTCAAGATACTTCAACAACTACATCAACAACTACCTACTTCCGAAACCTGGAAAAGCTACTTGAAAGTAAAAAGTGGCCTTGTATCGGGGTTCGGAAGTTGCTGATTACGTTCAAGCGACTTTTTTCACTTTCGCGCCGTTTCCCACGGTTCTCCATGACAACTTACAAGGAAAAGTGACTTGTACGCGGTTTTTGTTGTAGTGTGGATACCGCCTAAGCCTCGTCATAAGCTACACGTATAATTAGATCTCCCATGCTTGTAACCTTGTTGTCAGCACTTCTAGAACTAGTACTTCTACCACTTCCTTTTAGTTAGTCAATCGCGTCGTCGATTCCGGACTATTCCAGACCTTCCAAGTAATATGCCTGATGAGTAATGTTGCTGACTAAATTGCATAATATAGATATCTCACCTTCTAGAATACCTCGCTTAGTCATTATGTTAATGTTACGGAATGCTCACTTCATCTACATGTATAGTAATGATGATCTAGGTTTACCTTCTCCACTATTCTAGAACTTGTAGAAGGATGATTTCGTAATCCTTGTCTTACCACCAACCTTAGTTCTCTACCTTCGCTATAAAAGCTGCTGCCTTTCTAGTTTCCTAGAGATTAGTTTCTTGCCGATTAAGATCAGTTCCTACCTCTTAGATTCATGCTAGAGAACTCTTTCTCTCTCTCTCGGAATAAGTGTGCAATTCTGTATGGTAACCATTATCCATTACTGTACCCTCGTGCTCTGCCGACTGGGTGAAACCAGGACTTAACATTTGGCCCCCAACAGCGGTTCTGAACCCACGACGACGGACGACCTGAGATTGCCGTATTCAATCGTAGCCAGTATTTTCTTGCACAAGTGTTTCTCCTCCTAATCCTATTCGTCAAGATGAAGTTCGTCCCAGTCTTCTTCGTCACTCTAGTGGTATGTCTGGCTGTCAACAATGCTGTGCCATGCCAAGCACGTAGGCAAGAAGATTCGCAAGATGATATGAAGGCTTATGTTGAGTACGTGGACAATCCCCTACCTCATAGCGCTATATCTGACCCATCGCACGCCGTGCCTGTCAACGTTGATTCTCCTTCCTGAACCTACTACGAGAAACTCTTCAACCACATCTACGGAAATATCTAGTAAGTCGTTTCACTGTGCCAACCCTATCATACAAACTACGCTATCCCTCGCTAGTTTATTCGCTGTCTTTCCGTTATCATACTTCATAGGCATAGTTGTTCCAGTTTTTTTTCACACTCTCAAGTCGCATCATTCAACCCATCCCACTCCCAGCCCCATCATTCTATCAAATGTCTATCTTACATACAGATGCATACAGTGCACAGTACTAACTACATGTAGTTCTGGATCACTCAACATGTTACAATGGCCACACTCAAGCACAACAGCTTTCTCAAGTTTCTGACAACACAGCTGCCTAGCATCTTTATTACCCATACAGACCATGCAATCAGTTTGCTGGATCAGCAGTCACCAGTCCCTGCCCTTGAACAGGCGCAACATACTGTATACCCTGCACGCACTCAACTCACAAATCCATGTAACATGATGTAACATGATATACCGCCACATGATGAGCGAGTATACTTTCCCAGTTTTACCGTCCCCAAGAGTGACGCGATTTTACACATCCCGTTTTCACCGTCCAAAATTGAGACGTGAACACATAACACATTTTACCGCTCCACAGAGAGACAGGTCCTTCACACATTTACATTTTTACACACAGGGTCCCTACTTTATTCACAGTCTACCAAGCCATACTGTCCTGCCACACATGACAATCCAGGATTCCAATTTACATTACACGAATCCATCATCACATACACCCATGCCACACTCCACAGCTACAATACAATCATACATGTATGGCCAGTTCCTTACAACGATCCAGCTCTTCTACAAACACTCATCATTTCTCATCACATCCACTCCCTCTGAAGTCTCCCACCCCGCCCGCTACTCTTTCTTTTTCTTTCTTCGTGTGATTTAATTAATATCTTGCCACTAGTACCGCCTTGCGTTTTCTTTCTCTTTACTGCTATGTATGTACATGTCCCCTCTTATTTTTTTCTTCGCATGTGGACATGCGCCCGCAAAGGGGGGGGGGCTATGTTAGGGTAGAAATGCATATAATTATTATGACATGTACATGACTTGATTGCGACTACTAGTAGTAGTACATGCACGTACATGTAAATGTAAGCCTCGTCATAAGCTACATGTATAATTAGATCTCCCATGCTTGTAACCTTGTTGTCAGCACTTCTAGAACTAGTACTTCTACCACTTCCTTTTAGTTAGTCAATCACGTCGTTGATTCCGGACTATTCCAGACCTTCCAAGTAATATGCCTGATGAGTAATGTTGCTGACTAAATTGCATAATATAGATATCTCACCTTCTAGAATACCTCGCTTAGTCATTATGTTAATGTTACGCAATGCTCACTTCATCTACATGTATAGTAATGATGATCTAGGTTTACCTTCTCCACTATTCTAGAACTTGTAGAAGGATGATTTCGTAATCCTTGTCTTACCACCAACCTTAGTTCTCTACCTTCGCTATAAAAGCTGCTGCCTTTCTAGTTTCCTAGGGGATTAGTTTCTTGCCGATTAAGATCAGTTCCTACCTCTTAGATTCATGCTAGAGAACTCTTTCTCTCTCTCTCGGAATAAGTGTGCAATTCTGTATGGTAACCATTATCCATTACTGTACCCTCGTGCTCTGCCGACTGGGTGAAACCGGGACTTAACACTAAGACCATGCACAATGTTACGTGTCTGTGACTGTCTCTTCTCAAGTTGTTTTACAAGGCATATTGCCAATATTTCAATTTTCAGTTTTATATTTTGAAGTAATTATTATAAACAAATTCCTGTCATAGTTCAATGATACAAGCACAGCCATACTACCTTGAACCCACAGCCTTCTCTTGAGAATCACAGGAACATGTCAGAACTCCCCCAGCGCAGCCTTAGAATTCATACTAGGATCCATGCTTTCCACTTCATCCAGCATGAGACTCAGATGTCTGACCAAAATGTCCTGCCCACGC